TTTTAAAAAAGAAAGAAAAATGGGTCCCCCTAAATCTCATCTATTTTGATAGAAGTCCCCCAAATTATCATATTTTGAAATTAGCCCCTCTAAACCTTTTAAGTTGTCTCAAATTAGGCCCCATGTTTCCTTTTATTTAACCCCAATCCAAGTAATATCTGTTATAGTTTGTGTTTTCCCTTTTACCCTTGTCTTCAACCCAGCCTCTTCCAGCCAATTGTCTCTTTTAAACCCATGTAAAATTAACATTTTTTCTCTATTAATAGCAAATGAAAATGGTCCTCATAAGGTTGAAGGTTTTCTTCTGAACATACATCGTAACTGAGATTTGAAGCTAGAGATCCCATGGTCTTTGTATCTCCATAAATATTATCATCTCTGTTCTCCGTCCCCCATAGTGCAAAGCTTTGAGCACAACATACATGAAATAGTGTACAGAGACTTAATGAACCTCATGAGTTATGCACCCAACATGACAACAAAGAAACTTTTATTATTGCTTTGCAGCAACAATAATTGCAGGCAACATCAGATGTTGCTTACTCTTGTTATGTCCAAAATCTCATTTCTCCAATCTAAGAAATAATCACTTGCATTATCCAATGACGTCTTTCATTCAAGTGGTAAATTAATTGTTGATGAACATATCTACAGTTGATTCAAAGAGGGGTTTTGGTGGCGGTTTTTTTTTTTTTTTCGTTACCAACATCCAATACGTAATTCACCTGAGTTAAGGTCTAGCAATTTAGAGTCTTAAAGGTCTAACAATTTAGAGTCTTAGACTAGCATGCACTGATTTGAGACAACCTAAGTGTTTTGAGAGGTTTTATTTCAAAATAGGAAGACTTTGGGAACTTCGTATCAAGAATGGATTTGAGATTTGGGGGACCAATATCTGAGAGACTCTTTTTTTCTCCCACGACTATGACTCAATAAAATTAGGTTTAACAATCTTCTGATTACCAACTCCATGGATTTAAAATGAAATGTTTATATCTCCTGTGTAGATTTGCCATGCTCAAGGAGATTTATATTAATTAAATCATTAAATGTCTCCTCGGAAAAAATAAACTAGTATGTCAGAGCTTTCCAAACGTTATGGAAGAATGCTAGGTGCAAATGCTGAACTTCGCATAATGTGGGATTCAATTTGAACACACTATAGAACATTTAATGCTCTAATGAAAGAATAAGGCATAAATCATCCAATTTGAGGCAGTGGCATATAATATGCTCTCAGTATCCTTATATTCAAAGAAACTGAATTCAGGGAAGTGAATCGACACTGATGTTTTTCCCCCTTTTGTAAGAAAAGTTAACATGAAGGATGGAAAAAGAAAAGAGATATTCTATCAGTTTCTCTGAAGTTCATGTTATCCTATATATGCAGGTGTGTTGGATTGCAAGTTCCATCCAAGGCAGCCATGGTTGTTCACTGCCGGTGCTGACTCTGTTATTAAGCTTTACTGCCACTAAGACATCGCGAAATAGCCAGTTATTATGCCAGAGTTCATATCTCAGCAAGGCAACCAAAGGAATGCCATTGATTGTAGTGAGAGACGACCTAACATCAAAAAAATGTTTTTAACAGTTGCACTTCAAATGGAGTTTTAATCGACATGGCAGTTGTATTCGGTTGATTTCAGTTCAAGTTCATTGATTTGAACACAAAGGCAGGCTAGTAAATCCGACTTGTACAAGCTCTGTATCGTATGCATCTTTGAAACAGACAGAAGCAAGCAGCTTCAAAGTTAAATATACTATTTGACAAGCATGAGTAACTTCGAAGCTTGAAATTTTGTATCAGGTAGATGGTTAAAAAAATTATTTTATGGACGTTTTGTGCAAATTTTGTAATATATGGAGTTCTTAGGTATATTCTTTCCAGAAAAGTTACAACATTTGAGGTGATATTTTAAGACAAACGGTAATGGCAAAAAATTGTCATCAGAATTTATCTTTAATCATCTGGCAACGATAGTGATCCAACAGTAGAAAAAATTTCTCATTTGTGTTATGGTTTTCCTGGTCAGAATTTGGAACCACTTATATGGTTGATGCCTGCTTGATACTTTTCGAGTACACTTCCTCTACTGATATACGTCATATATTTTGCATTATGGGGTATAAAGACCACCTGATTCTTGTTTAGTTATAAGAGCTGGTTTACAGCTGAGTCAACTCTTACCAAACACGCTAAAACTATTCTAAAATGCTTATGCAGATGAACCTTACTTGGGAAAATATTCTTTAAATAGTGTATCGACTGACTAATCATGAGTACTTACACAAATATGGATGTGCCTTGGGACAAGAAAAACGCTTATCCTAATCTATATAATTTGAAGATGAATACCAATAAAATAAAAGAAATGTTTAGGGATACCGGGAAAAAACACAAATAAGATTGAGAAAGTGTATAGGTCATATAATAGAAGACTGTTAAAAAATATTAAATTTCTCAAACGACAGTCCATAAATATGTTCGACATACTTAAAAAGCTATGAAATATTTGGATCATCGAAATGATCTCAACTTCATTAGTCTAGTGATCAAAATAATTTCAATTAAAATCAATACACATATTCACAAATTTACACACGTAGATATTCACTTTATCTTATCACGTCCACGTACATCTATGTACATAACTGCTTCCAATCCTAATGGGGAAGCCAGCCTCCTCTTCGCCTCACCTCCGGTCACCACAACCCAAAATAGACCTTTTGGCAGTCAACTTTTACCCGGAAAGCGATTTCCGAACCGACCGTGTCCACTCAAAACCTAGACACGGAGCCCTGTAAATATCTCCACCAACTCGAGGGCATTTTACTAAAGTTCTCCCCCTTTAAATAGGGCTGTCTTAAGCGGACTGCAGTCGTTAGAGTTTTTTGCCCCCAAGTTGTTGGATTGGGATCCTTCACTAATGAGGATCCTCCTAAGATCTCCTAATGATGAGATCTTGGCCTTTGATTTATCAATCAAAGGTTAAGATCTCATTCTCTTCCTCCTCCCTACTTTTCCTCATGAGGAAATTATGACCTTTGATTGATAAATCATGACCTTTGATTGATAAATCAAAGGTCAAGAACTCATAAGAAGATCTTAGGAAGGGTCTCATTAGTAGAGGATCTCAATCCCAAATTGTTTATCTATTCCCGTTTTCTCGTTCGGAGGCTCTTTTTTTAAGAAAAATGATAGGGGCACACCCCCAACCACACCCCCTCTCTCATTTGCTACAGTGCACCGGGCCCCATATGGGATTTTAAAATTTTAAAATCCCATGTGGGCCCGGTGCACTGTAGCAAATGAGAGAGGGGTGTGGTTGAGGTTGTGGTTGGTGGTGTGCCCCTAGTGCCACCCTTTTTTTAATCTCTCTCTCCGTTTCATTGAAATTTCGAAACCTAATCTCTCGGAAACCCTGATTTCTTCGAAGATTCTTGAAATTGGAGCTTTTTGTTCTGCAATTTGCTCGAATCTCGATGTGGATTGAGTTCTACGGTTTTGGGGCCTCCAGTAAGGATTGTGATCTTTCGGGGGTCAATTTGATGGCTGTTGTGTACATTTTTAGCATGTAAAGTGTGTATTGCAACTCTGAGCTTTAATTAATGCAAACCATCAGATTGGTGTTGTAGTGGCCAGGAATGTAAGTGGTCTTGTTCTGAGTTATCTGAACACTCTAGTTGTTGAAATGGCATTCTTGATACACGTAACAAGTGGTTACTTTTTCATTCTTTCTTTCTTTTTGGACCGTTGTTATTATTTTGGGTTTATTTGGCTTTATACCATCATCCGTATTTATGAAAATACCTAGCCAATTCTTCACCCTCGAGTTAGTATTGCCCGCCAATGACTTATCAAAAATAAGGAATACAGAATATTCCTTTCAGGACACGCTAGCTCAATCTTAAAGATTTGTGGGTCATTTTAATAAATATCAAGATTTGGAGATTAAATTTATTAAATAAGAATGATTTGGGAAATATATAGCCAAACCAACCCCCCGCCCTTTATTTTGATGCGTCTGCACAAATATATTACTGACGAATAAAAATTCAAAACTATGCAGGGGAATACACAAGATGAGCTCCCTGAAGTCCTCATAGGTACCTGTCGCTTAAACCATATGGATGCCTCCAAATCAGTATCAATGTGCTAATAACAGCTTGCATGGTTTGTTTGCTTTCTCACTTTGATCTTTTCATACTGTCTTTATCTTCTGAATCACTCATCCAAATCCTCCTTTACGTTCTTGCAGATTGACTGCCACATTACATGCTTCTTACTTCATAACATGCTGTTCAAGTTGGAAGCTGGGTTGATACGCGCATTCAATTGTTTTATAGATGCGCCCTATTTGATTTGTAAAAGGTCCTTCAAATTGGAGCCTCGTCCATCAATATTGCTACTATCATTAATATCCACCGAATTCTTGAACATTTTAATTGGTCGCCTTCAGTGTCGCAATAACAAGAAAATTTTTTTTTTCAGCTCAGTCAGTCCTTGTTTGAGATAAAAAATCATTACTGCCATTGGCAATAAAACCTCCATCTAAATTAAAAGTAGCGAACATCAGCATCATAATATTGATTAGCACCATCTAAATGTTGACAGCTTACAACCTTCTATTCTCTTTTTAGCCAAGCAAACTTGGCAGGAAGCAGAAACAGTGTAGCACTGGAATCATACACAAGAAAATAAGCTTTGGGTACATTAATGTCAAGAAAACTAACAACTAAATTACAGCAATAATCTTCATCCTCTCTATCCACTCTCAGCTAACCCCTTAATATTCAGTAAATAGGGAACAAAAGTATCAAAATGATGCAACGTACAAGCTTACGACTGGAACCAGAGGCCTTTAACCTATCACATCAATTGTTCCCCAATGACTGCTATTTCAATATGCTCGTATCTTAAGCTTGGACGTTCTCCTCCTTGCAGTTACAATTAGGGCCTGTTCGTTTATTTCCTAAAAACCAAGAAATGGAAATGGAAAATGTGGAAATCTCAAAATAACCCATTTCTTCCATTTCCATCCCTAAAACTCACCCACAACATCCAATAAAATATTATTTTCATCCAACAACTCATCCACATCATCTAATAAAATATTATTTTCATCTAACCACTCATCCACCACATCTAATAAAATATTATTTTCATCTAACAACTCATCCACCACATCTAATAAAATATTATTTCCATCCAAACATCACTCAACTCATCTCTTTTCATCATTTCAAATCACTCACATCATCGAATAAAATATTATAACAATTCACCTCATCTCATTAACATTTCATTTCTTAGTTTTCATCCCCAAAAGTTGTGAAAACACTTTTCTTAATCTTTCTTCACATCACCCAATAATACAATGACAATTCATCTCATCTCATTTCATTTCTTATTTTTAAGAATGAACTAAACAAAAGAAAACAACAAAACTACAGGAAATATGTTTCTTATAATTCATTTTCTTATTTTTTTCGCCAACCGAACAACATCAAAACTAGTTTTCTTAAAAAATCTCTCACATCATCCAATAATAATGTGACAACTCATCTCATCTCATCTCCATTTCTTTGATTTCCTTTTTTTTTAGCCAACCAAACAATTCAAAAACTCATTTTTCTTAGAAATAGTTTTCTATTTCTTTGATTTCCCATTTTTTTAAGGCAAACGAACAGGCCCTTAGAATAAATACAACAATGAACAAAAAAGTTAACATAGCTAAAGTAAAGACCATCCAAGAGGTGCCCACAGCAAGTTAACATGTAACCCTTGTGTTTCCTGCACAAATACAGGTTTTTATTATGACTGTATGCTCTAAATTTACAGTAACTTCGAGTTCAAAGTGAGAAATTCTAGAGTTAGTTTGCTAAATATAGGTAGAGTTATCCAGCTCACTGTTCATCACCAAGCCTAACTTTCCCTCATCACCTAGGTGTCATTTGGCAACAAGTTAAGTGAGGGCTGAGGAGAGTTGACCCCTTTTTAACTTGTCAGGCACAATAAACACAATAAGGTACCCCGTTTGGCAAAGGTTAAGTGAGGGGTTAATGAGACTTAATTCCTTCTTAACCCGCCAAACACAAAAAATCTATACAAGGGTTAAAGTGAGTTAACCCACCATAATTTGCCAAACATAAAAAATATAGAAGGGTTAAGCTAACCCTTCTATACAAGAGTTAAAGTGAGTTAACCCACCATAATTTGCCAAACATAAAAAATATAGAAGGGTTAAGCTAACCCTTCTAGAGGGATTAAAATGAGTTAACCCCTCAAAATATGGGGTTTACTAATACTCTTATTTAGAAGGATTAAGAGTTAACCCTTCTAATTATAAAGAAAATAGTCAAAATCATTGTTATTCCCAAACACTAAAACTGATCACAACGGCTAAAATAAAACTTATTTAACGAATTAATAATTTAGTCCTTCAGATTATCAAATGAGCTAAGTACATTAATCATTCTCTTTAACCCCTCTTCTTTAACCCTTTGCCAACAGGAAGAATAAAGTGAATTAGCCCCCGCCGTAATTTGCCAATTGCAAAAATTTACAAAATGGTTAAGATAAACCTTTTAGAGGGAATAAAATGAATTTAATCCTCAAGTGCTGTTTGGCAAGGCATAAGAGAGGAGAGTTAACGAGAAGGGCTAACTTAGTTAACCCATCACGATGAGTTTAAAATAATAAAAATTGTTTAGATAAATTAGTTAAGATGGAGGGGAAGCATTTTTGTGCTTGGCAAAGAAATAAGGCTTAAGGAGATTAATCCTCCTAAAATTGTTAGCATAAATATCCAAAATTAGTTACTATAAAATTCCTAAAATGGTTACTACAAAAATTCGAAAAGGATCTTTTTTATTTTCTAAAAGATTCCAATCTACATCACCTACTAGAGGCGGTAGAATAAATCTTAAACCACCTCACACGAATTAACCGTCTAAATGACGG